TTTTGCGCAGATGGACTGTGAGGTCATAACTACCGATCCCAGGGCAGAGGCCATCTGTTTGTCTGTCTGCTCTCTGCCCCAGTTTTATGCATCTTGGTTGATGTAAGCATCTGGTGTCTGGCCAGGTGTGTGCTGCCACCAGAGAGTCAGGCTGGACTCTACAGGTGCTGGTGATGGCAGGGCCCCGGCAGGAGGCACAGGCTTCCAGAGGAGGCCGCCATCTCTGAGGTCTGCCCAGCCTGCAGGTCCGGCTGGGAGGAGGGATCATTTGCTGTGATGTCAGTGTCTCTTGAGTTATCCAGGGGCAGGTTCCCTGAGCACCATGTGCCAGGCACAGAAGGCCCTCAAGTGTTAGAATAAACAAAGGAAACAAAGGATATAATCTGCATCTAAGGATGCGGATTGACAGGACCAGGGCTTCCTTCACACTTGACCTTGATGGAGAGGAGCAGAGCTTTCCAAACAGGTACCCTGAGGACTTCTGCGCCTAGAGTTAAGGTGCACTGGAGACAAACCATAAGGGACTCTTAACTCTAGGAAACAAACTGAGGGTTGCTGGAGGGGAGGGGGGGAGGGGGATGGGGTAACTGGGTGATGGGCATGAAGGAGGGCACTGGATGGAATGAACACTGGGTGTTCTATGCAACTGATGAATCACCAAACTCTACCTCTGAAACTAATAATATAGTATATGTTAAGTAATTGATTTTAAATTTCAAAAAAAGAAAAAAATACACTGGAATATTTAAAATGAAGAAATAAGCACATGCCGCATTTCCTGAACTAATTCACTCATGGAAATCTTTGGGAGATTTCTATCAATATCTCGAGGGACTAGTGTCCTTCTGGGCGTTTTGGAAAACGCCTCCCAAAGTTGCCCTCCCAAAGCACATGCCGCATTTCCTGAACTAATTCACTCATGGAAATCTTTGGGAGATTTCTATCAATATCTCGAGGGACTAGTGTCCTACTGAGCGCCGTTTTGGAAAACGCCTCCCAAAGTTGCCCATGTGGCCACCACTGGTCTGCAGTGGAAACCATCTACTACCTGCAACACCACCCGCACAGTCCTGCCTTCGGGCACTGGCTTATGCCCTACCCGCTTCCCAAATGCCCTTTCTCCGCCTGCTCCCGTTCCACGGTCTATCTTAAGTCCCACCCACTCCCAGGAGCCCCCCAGCGGGACTTCACCGCTTGCTGCTTGAGCTCCTCAAACAGATGGCAGCGGACCCGTGCTATTTCTTTGTGTCCACAGCACAGCCCAGGGCCAGGCTGGTGGTGTTCCGGGAATGCTCAGTTGATTGGTTCAGGCTGGGGCAGGTGTGAGGGCTCCCCTCCTAGCCACCTTCTCTCCCCTCCAGCCTCCGGCCCTTCATCCAGGATGAAGCAGCCACACCTCACCGCCAGGAGGGAAATTTCTTCACCTTTGCGACTTCCCTTCTCTTCCTCTGTTCCTTAATATGCAGGGAGCATGGACCAGAGGGAAGGGAACCAACAGATCTATTTCCACGTTCTCTTCCTCCGAAATGAAACCAGGGGCATTTTCTTATTTAATTATTAATGCCCTAAATCAGATGGTGCCCGATGCGTTAACCTCTGTCACTCGGAATGGAGTCGGCCTAATAACCACTGTGGCAGCATTGATTTTCCCTCAGTCATCTCGTGAGCATGTCTTTGTGATACTTCCTCTGAGAGAGCGCCAAGCCCCATTCACGTTCACAGTGGTGAGGAGCTGCCCCCGTGGGGAGGGGGCGTGGCCCCTCTCTGGCTGCTCTTCATTTAGCCTCAGTAAATTGCCTGAGAAAGAAATACTTTTTCTAAAATCAGTTCCCCAGGGGCGCCTGGGTGGCTCAGTCGTTAAGCATCTGGCTTCGGCTCAGGTCATGGTCCCAGGGTCCTGGGATCGAGCCCCGAATCCGGCTCCCTGCTCAGCGGGAAGCCTGCTTCTCCCTCTCCCTCTGCCCCTGCTCGTGTTCCCTCTCTCGCCGTGTCTCTCTCTGTCAAATAAATAAAATCTTTAAAAAATAAAAAATAAAAAATAAATAAAATCAGTTCCCCAAAGGAACTGACTGGTTTGGCCTAGGACGTGACCCCACCTTCGAGGCATTTCTGTGACATGTGGGCAAGATGAAGTAGGTGAGCTGGAAAAGCTGGTGATGTGAGATGGGAAGAGTGGTCAGCACTGGGCCGTGTGGCCCAGACTAGAAGCTACGTGCGTGGAGGGCACCCAGCACCCTGTAGGTGCCAAGCCCAGGGTGGGTGGAGGGCCCGGGGGCCCGAGCTGGACCTCGAGCTGATGGTCCTTGGACACGCAAAGTTGATGATGACGCGCTTTGAGGGCAAGGGGAGCAGTGTGAACAAGGGGCAGGAGAGACCAGTCTGGCTCTGGGGAGGGAAGTGTGGGTGTTAAGGTTGCATCTATTAGATTGGGTTCCAAGAAAAAGTCTGAGGGCAGAGCGAGTCCGAGGGGAGCCTTCCACCCTCAGGCTGGACGTCCTTCTTCCCCGAGCCCCTCCCACACTTCCACAGGGGCAGACTTGGCCTCAGATGGGGAACTGTGTGGTTGCTCATGGCAGGGCTGTTCCAGGCTTGGGTGTGAATGCCCCCCGCTCTGCTAGCCTTACCACAACCACACGGACAGAGGAGTGAGACTACCTCGCTGCCTGTGTCCTCTCGTGCTCCCTGCCCACCTCCCCTTCCCCCTCTCCCTCTCTGCACCTGGCATCCAGGTATCCCACTGCCAGGGGGAGTCGGCCAAACTGTCCTGTCCACATCCGACGGAGAGGGAAGAGGTTTGCATGAAGATTTTAAAAGATCTCCCAAATTCTAGCAAGGATCCTAGTTACCTCCATCTCCCACCCCTCTCCTATCACCATGGGTCAAAAGGGGGCCAGAGGAACACTCTCCTCTAATCCAGGTGGCTTCAACCTTTGATGTTCTAAGCTTCATGAGTTTGAAGATGCAGTCGTGGGGTCCACTCAGGAGATGATAGGAGTGGCCGAGTCAATGAGACAGGGCCGTAGAGAGAACCAGAACAAGGCATTCTCTCCCCCTGGCATTCCGATGCTGTGCCTTTGGAGCACTGGGTCTCTTCTTTTACTCCTTTATTTATTTGGTGGTGGATCTGCCCAAACCCCACCTGGAAGCTGATGCTCCTCCTACACTTGGCTCTCCCCAAAACTTAGTGCTACATCTGGGCACACTCTTTCTCATCCAGGTTGTGGCTCCTGCTCTCTGAGGGGAATGGGCTGAAACGCCCTGCAGCCCTAGAAGGGGCGTGGGCCCCATGCTGTGCCCTGCCTTTTGGGGGGGGCCCCTTAGGTCTCTGAGGACTTGTTGTGGGGGAGGTGAGTGGGGGGGGGAAGATGAGGGGCTGTGACCCGCATACTCCTGGACTTGGCAAATTAAGTGGAAACACCAGAATTGCTTTTCTCTTTCCGAACTGATTTTCAAAATATGTTTAGCCAGATTATTTTCAGATCTCAAACAGAAAAACCTCATTAATCATTAATTTGGACCCCTACAGTTATACAGAATTTGTAACAATTTGTTTATCTTTGAAGGAGCTGCTAAGAAAGAATTTAGTGAGGAAATTACTGGGGACGAGGGGGAGAGTATTTAACCTTTCACGAAGACAGGAGCTCTATTTAGCTTCCCTCTGGGTACAGATGGGGGTGTGTGCAACATGCATGTCACTCTTGTCTGTCCCTGAGTGGAGTGAGTCCTTCCTCATCGGCAAGCTCAGGGCCAATGGACTGGATCCTCAACCATTTCAAGCCTGGGGACCCCTTTCCGATGTCAAAATATTTTCTATATCATCCCTGCCCCCAGTTATTAGAAGGTGCATCTTTTATTTTTTATTATTATTTTTTTTTAGAAGTTGCATCTTTTAGTGTAGCAGATTGAGAAGAAAAGCTACTCTGAATTCAGTAAAGCTTTTAGGCAAATCACAACAGCATCTGTGTACACATGAAAAATAGTGCTATCTTCCTGAGTCATGGTGTTATTCATTCTATAGCTGATGTTTGAGCACATGTGAATTCCAGCTCCCCTGGGCTATCCCCACAGGTGGGAACCCTTGTGCAGTTCTCTAAGTCTGTAGGACCACGGGGTCCTGGAGTTCCAGGGCAGGAAGGAGCCTAGGGGGTCGCTGTGGTTACTCCCACCTTAATGATTCTTTGCCTCCATGAGGAGTCCTTTGTTGGGGGAGTCCTCAGTTTAGGGGACCAAGGGGGTTGACATGTGTGTAGGCACACTTGACACCTGCCATAAGCTGTCACTTCAGGGGCCTGGATCAAACTTTACAAGCTGCTTCCTCGAAGCCCCTCACCAGTCCTTCATCCCTCGGTGGGAGTGATGTGCGCATCAAGCTGGGTGTCAGTGACAGATATCCCATAGCAGCAAGAGAAGCAAGGTGCAGTCTTCTGGGTAGCCTGGAAGACTTTTCCCAGCTCAGCTTCCCCAGGGGCCACCAGACTCCTTTCTTCCCTTTCTTTGTTGCAGGAAGTTGGGGAAGGGGAAAGTGGATGTGCAAAGCACATCAGAGCTGAGGGGGAAGGGACCGAGGGGAAGACCCTGCATTTGAAGGTCAGGAGTTCTTGGTCCCAGCATGGGCTCAGGGGCCTGAGGACACCCTGATCTTACAGCCAAAAGTTGTGCATGTGGGCATTTTTCTGGGGAGAATTTCTTGAATTTGCATGAGATTCTCAAAGCAGTCCACAAGCCAACAAACTTTCAGAAGCCCTGGCCTGGAATACCAACTTTTCCCTGACTCAGGCTTCCCACTCCCCGGTTACTCAGAACTGGTGAAGTGTAGTCAAAGCCCACAAGTGTGAAATATCAAATGCTCATTACATGACGTTGGGGGCAAACTTAGTCTGTTTAGCGAGTCTGTTTTGCTGCCTCGTGTGAGAAGACTCAGTGGCGAACAGATGCCCTGGAAAACGGTCTGATTAATGACGCTGCTTCCTTTGTCCCCCCTACCCCCACCCCCCCAGGGCCCGGGATGGCACTCTCCGTGACAGAGCTCATTATCTTCTCCCTCCTGCAAACTGCCCTGTCCCTGAACCCCGAGGACCCTAATGTGTGCAGCCACTGGGAGAGGTAAGATGTGGGTCTCGGACGGCCAGGCGTTCCCTCAGGACCTCTCCCTGGGGCTTGGTACTGTTGGGACAAAAGCAGAGTCGGGAGGTACAGAAGCTGCCCACCGCGGGCCTGCAGTCCAGCTGGAGAAACAGCGCATGCGCTGAAAGACAGGACCAAGCAGTGTCGATTCTGTCTACACTCAGGGCCGTGGGAGCTCCAGGCCGAGGGGCTTGACTTAAGTGTTGCTGTCTGATAGTTCGCAAGGAACTCTGGTCGCTCCCTGCATTTGCCCTTCCTGGCCATTTTACAGATGAGGAAGTAGAAGCACAGAGGGGCTCAGTGCCCGCCCACAGCCAGGCGGGGGGCGGGGCGGGGGCAGTGAGTGTGGTCCAGATGTGCTCTTCTCCGAAACCGTGACGCCTTGCCTGGTCCCCCAGGACTGGCATCAGTGTGGCGGCTTGCCTGTGCCGGGCGGCCGGCTGCCAGCCCCAGGGAGGACGGGTGAGGGGACTCTGCTGCTTCCAGCCGGGGTGGGAGGGCTCCCGGGGGAAGTACGGCCCAGGGCCCCGGCAGAAGAGCTGGCTGCATTCCGGCTGCCGCACTAGGTCCGCCCTAGGTCCGTGGGGAACGGGCCAGGGCCCTGCAGACAGCCTGACTTTGAGTACAAGGTTAAAGTATTGATTCTGGTGAGCAGAGAGATAGTGACCAGAGACCCAATAAGGAAAAACCGAATTAAACCCTGGAATTGATTGGTTATGCTGACCAGGACGACTCTGCCACTTAGATGTTAATAAATCAAATGAATAAAATTAAGATGAGCTCCAGCGAGTGGGGCTCTCCGTGCTCTCTACTTGTGAGGGGGAGCGTCCCGGCCCCACGGCAGGGCAAGGCGCCCCACCCAGGCAGCCCCAGGCCCTTCAGGGATGGGCTAGGGAAGCAGATGGACTGTGCCCCCGCTGGCATGATCACCACGGACTGGGCACGCTATGGGAGTCCCTACAGTCGGGGCGGGAGCAGAAGCTGGTGCTGTACCATGCCTCTTTTAGGGGAAGGGGGAAAAAGGCAAGATCTGTCAGGAGAAGACCTTTGTTCATTCCAGTCTGGATCTCGCCACCTGCTAGCTGTAAAGATTTGGGGGAAGTCTCTGAACTGCTTTGAGTTTGCTTCCATCTCTGTAGAGTGGGAAGAATAATTGCCCTGGCCTCCCAGGCTCGCAGGAGGATCAGGGTGCCAGTGTCATGAAAGGGCTTTCAGGACTGTAAAGGTCAATTATGGTCTTTTCTTGTTTATACCTCTGGCTTTGCGGGAACTGTTTCTCACACACTTTAATGCACATCAGGCTCACTGGAGGTGTGGTTGAGAAACAGTCTCCTGGGTCCCAGCCCCAGAGACTCTGATGCTATAGGTCTAGGGTAGAGCCTAGCAATATGCATTTTTCATAAGCTTTCCGCATGACTTTTAGGTTACTCAGGCCCTTTGCCCCTTCTGGTCTTGGCGAATTGAAACCTTTATTTCCCAGAAGGTGAGAAAGCTGTCAGCTCAGATTGCACATTATTAGTATCTGGTACGTAGACTCCAGCATCAGTAGCCCCCCTACCATCCATGTATCCCAGCTGAGACACAGTTGCTTCCTGCCCATGGTTGTGCTATATCCCCACCTCCAGAATACCCTCTCCCCGTCCGCCTTTCTCTGCCTTCCCCAGCTCCTCTGACCAGGACCCTCTCCTCCAAGGAGCCTTCCCTGATGGCAGAGCCCTTCCTCACTTCCCTCTTCTCAGGGTCCCAACTGGATCACTTTGAACAGTGGATCAGTTCAAACTCAAACCGAATTCTCTAATTTTCTAGACCTCCCCGATATCAATCAGTTTGGAATATGAAAATACTCTGAACGGAGCCTGCACTGAGCTGGCTGTCAGCTGAGGTGATCCTTTGATGGGAGGACAAGGACTGACCCTATAACTAAAGTGAAGTCGGGGGACACCTGTGGCTTCTCCAGCCCCTAGGGAGGAGGCCTTGCAGGCAATGCCGCATAACACCACGTGCCTTCTTCTCGGCTTGCCCACCTGAGCTCTGCTGCCAATGACACGTGGACAGATGTAGTCTGTGTCATTCCAGAAACACGCTCCGGTCCTCAGAGACCGCCTAGGGAGAATTTCTCAGCTGGATTAGTGCTTCTGGCGGGCTCCCTGTTAATTATGCCCCTCCACCATAAAACCCAGTGGAAAGACCTCCCCTGGCTAATAAAGCCCAGCTCTACAAGATTAATCTGGTCCCTCATTAGCATGTTGGCAAGTGAGCATGTTAAACCGACCAGCCATGAAATTGGGGGCACACCCTTCGCCCCAGAGACTTGGAGTTGATTCGAGGTCTCATTGCCAGACTTGCTCAGCCCAGGACACCGCTGCAGAGCTGGGACCGTCCCCCATGACACTCTCCTCACCCCTCTGTTGGGCTGGTGCCTTTTCTCTGAGCACCCGCTGTCTCTCTCAGGACTGGAAGGGGTGCCCGAGTCCCCCTGAGTGCTTAACAAAGGCAGGGAGTCCATTCCGTGTGTGGGTCCTGCTCCTCTCTCCCCCACCACGGTCAGGGAGGAAATGGCCCCCAGTGCCTAGTGCAGGAGGTGAGCCGCTGCGGTCATATAATAATGGACGGTGGCCAGCATCTATTCGACACTGGGCACCCATTAAAAATTTTACACGTATTATCTTGAGTTGAGCACTTTACATGTCTGTCTTCTCTTGCTTTATCTTCCCACCACCCTGAGAGGTGGACACTCTTTATTGCCTTGCTGAATCCTTGCAATGACTGTGTGAAGTCCCTGGCAATTTTTGTCATGAATTTACAGGGGAGGAAAAGGAGGCTCCCATGAGTTAAGCAACATGTCTAAGGACATGCTGCGAACAGGTGACAGGGTTCAAATGTGACCCAGATCTCATGCACTCTGAGCCGTTCATTCTCCTGCCCTAAGTGAGGTGTTCAGAAGCCGCGTGGAAACATAGGATCGTGGACTCTGAGAGTTAGTTGGAAGGGGCCCCTTGGGAAGCCAGGGGTGGGTGTTGAGCTGCCTCGGTGTCCCCAAGCCTGGTGATGAAACTGGGCTTGGCCCATGTCTGCACAGACGTGTGCCTCTGACTCACATCTCCACTGTGCCAGCTGGTAGAGGCTCAGCAGGGACCCTCCTTACATCCTCAGTGCTTCAAAGAACCAGAATTTTCCAGCGCCCTGAGTCCCTGTGCCCTGCCGACTTCTCCGGGGCCCTCTTTCTGGATTCCAGATCTTTGACCTTTCAGGCATCAGAAAGCCTGCTGTGGACCCACTCAGGGAGCTGGCCTGCCCAGCCCCCTTGCAAGCAAACCAACAGTCTCCTCAGGCAAAGCAGACGGATTTTTAGAGCCTGGATCTGGCCATCTGGCCCAGGTCAGTGAGCCGTCTGGGGGGAAACAATGAGGAGTACCAACCTACAAAAAAATGGAATTCCTGACATCTCAGCTGGGGCCCTCTCCCAGCCTGCATAGCAAGTGTGAATCTTCCCTTCAGCATCCTGGCTCGACTGCCTTTTCATACACCTCCGGCTGGGGGCGGGCAAGTAGAAAGGCTTACGGGTTAAGGCTGAGATCTTCCTCGCCAAGAGTTCTTCCCACTGTTCAGGTTTATAGCTAACGGACAGCATAACAAGATAGTACTTCGATTAGGAGTTCTGGGGCATGTCCTTGATGCTCCCCCAGCTATACTGGAGACAGAGCAGAAGGTAACTGGGGGACCTTGGGGAAGTCACTTATTCTTTCTTTTCTTCATTGTCCTTGTCTGTAAAATGAAGATAGCAATGCCACCAACCTTATAGGATTGTGAGGACTAAAATGGATTAAAACACTTAGCACAGGGCACTCAATAAATATCAGCAGTTAATTGGTACCGGCTGTGTGACCTGGGCAAGCTGCCTCTCTCTGAGCCTTAGTTTCTTCATCTGTAAAATGGGACCACTTCATAAAACTGCTACAAGGATCAGCTTCCATATATATGCTTTGAAACCCATAAAAATCTGAACAAAGTATTTTAAAGCTTGTTGGCTCTGCCTTCCAGAGCCACATAGAATAAACCTAAACCCTCCCTTATTCATTCTCTGATAAATGAACAAATGATCTAGAATTTCAGAAAATGAGCTGGGCCAAAGGGCAGTAAGGGATATGTCTTGGATCCAGCCTGGGTCAGGGAGGTGTGAATGCTGAGGGCATCCAGGGCAGGAGGAGGGTAGTGGGGTGGGGGGAGGTTGGAGCCCCTGAATGCCTGGCTGCGGGCCTGGTTCCCCTGGGGAAGGAGCCCCCATCTTGAATATCAGCTCAGCCTCTCGAGTGCTGACTGTAGCTTCTACCTCCTGTCTGGTTCTCAGCTATGCCATGACCGTCCAGGAATCATATGCACACCCCTTCGACCAGATCTACTACACGCGATGCACGGACATCCTCAACTGGTTCAAGTGCACCAGGCACCGGTGAGTACCTGATCTCGGGTGATGGGGCAGGGAGAATGTACTGGGCCCTCAGGGCTCACCTTTGTGCCAGTTAGTAAAAGGCCCCTGGAGTAGCTGTAGGCAGTGCACTGCTTGTACCCCCTTGGTGCTCAGCCTTTACTCTGAACATCTGAGATGCTCTGCTGAGGGCTTCCTTCTGGCTAGAGAAGCTTATGGGCAGGGCGGGCCAGAAGTGCTGGAGAATTACTGTCCTTGGGGGCATCCCTCAGCCAATGAGAAATGGGGAGTTGCTGGGTAAACCCCCCCAGCTCCCTCACCCTAAGGGTAGAGGGGAGAACTCTGAGGAACATTCTACACATATCCCAGTGCACCGTGAATTGGCTGCCTTTTCTTCCCTGTCTGTTTTCCCCCCTCCCCTCCCAGTGCTTCCTTAGATTGCCTCTCCAATAAAATGCTTGTCCTTGAATCTTTGCCTCAGGGTCAGCGGGGGGACCTCTAACCTCAGGCAGATCCCTAAGAGCAGATGTAGCCCCATGGCAGGGCATCTGGCTTGGGGAACTGAGCACAGGAGAGAACTGGGCACCTTCTTGTCACCTTGGCCGGGCTGCCCATGGGAAGAGCTCAATCTAAATGACTGTGTGGGGGTCCCCTGCTCCCTTGTCTGCAGCCCTCCTACAGATCATGCCATTCTCTCATGTTGCTGGGGGAGAGAGGAGAGGAAGGAAGAGAGAACACGTTTTATTGGATGACCCTGGGCAAGTTGCTTTATTTGGGAATTCCCAGTGTGCTCATCAAACATACAGTGATCTCTGCCCTACCTACTCACAGGGTCCGTTGAGGTCAGGGATGAGAAAATGCTTTGAAAAGTGCAGGGGAAGACGGGGAAAAGCGAGCTATTAGATCTGGGCAAGGTGGCACTATTATTTGAGGGATGGAAACCAGCAGATGAAGGGTGAATGAGCGCATGAGGGGAAAAGCCACCCATTAGGCCTCTTCCCTAGTCGCCGAGCATCCATGTTGGTTCCAGATTTCTTTGGCTTCCTCCATGGGGGCCTTGTCCCTCTTTGTGGTTTATGCCTGGATCACGGTGGGTAGCAAAGTGGATGGGGAAACTTGCTCTATGCTGAAGTGCCAAAGTCCTGGTTTTCTTTGGGGTTTTGTTGGTAGGTTGCTGTGAGCATAGACATGATATAGCTGCTAATTCCAACATCTGGGCCACTTCACGGTGGTCTTCATTCATTGTCTTTTCCTTTATGTAGGCAGTATTTTCCAGTTGCTTCTTGCATCTAGTAATTTTGAATTGCATTCTGGGCACTGTGAACAGCAGAGATTGTAGAGAATGAAATCTGTTACGTTCCTCCCGAGAGGATTGACTTGTTGTTGTTGTTTGTTTCAGCAATCAGTTAATCTGGCTGCATTTGACTTCCAGACTCTGAAAGTTCCATATTTTTAGCCTTAGCGGGACCGTGTGGGATCTGCCCCCCACACATACCATTCAGGGGCCAGAAGTTTGGGCAGAGATTTTACAAAGAATATGGGGCTTCCTCTTTGTGGCTCTCTCTTTTCTGGGGTTTCACTTTTCACTCTCAAATTGCTGGATCCACCCTGGACTTGTCTTGTAGTGCTTTAAGCCAGGAAGACTGTGTGTTTTCTATCTGAATTATAGCCAGCTGGAATATGGTTGATTGGGGCCTGCCCTTGAGCTGACCTTGCCCAGTGTCATTTCCTTCTTCCGAATTTCTCTTTCCCTCCAGTATCCACCTTTGTTCCCTCTCTGGTGCCTTCTGGTAGTTGTGTGTTGTTGTTTTTTTTTTAATATTTCTCCCAGATTGTATAGTTGTTTGTAGGAACTTTGGTCCAATAGGAGCTACTCGGCCATGACCGCATCCCCTTCCCCTAGCCCTTGATTGTGAAATGAGGCGGTGGGACCAAATATCCCCTTCCAGCTTCCTTAGCTGTGCCAAGTTGGCTGCCTGTGGCCCCGGTCAAAGGTGGAGGCGGAAATAGAGGTCCTGCTCCCTCCGTGAGCCCTGTCAGGCCCTGTGCCAGAGCCAAGTTTGCTCTGAGGTGTGGCTTTGTTGGGTACTCGGAGGCCGGGGCTGCCATCCATCAGCGCTGGGGGGAAGGTGAGTGAGTGGCTGCTTATTAAAATAGGCTGCATTCCTGGAACATGAATTATTTTGCTAAATTACTGAGTTGCCTTGCAGCTTTCCTGCTGACCTGGGGTATGCATGCTGACAGCCACACCATCAGTCTGCTTCAGTGTGGAATGGTTTATTTAAATGCAGCACCCTTTTCCTGACAGCCTGGCTCCTGGACCCTTCCCTCTGCTGCTCCCCACCCCAACGCTGGGAGCAAGCAAGGGTGGGAGAGCCAGAAGCAGCAGGAGACATCTCTCTCCTGGGAGGCTGCCATGGTGCCGAGACCACCTCTCCACTGGAAGGACTGGGGGATACCCCTGTGTGGTGGGACGACTGGGTTGGATGAACTCTGAGCCAACCCTGACTCTTCCTTTATCTGAGAGGTCCACGCCACCCCCAAAATTGCCGGGAGCTGCTTTCCTGTACCGGGGAAGGAGCTTCACTTTGAGGCTGGCTTACTTTTCATTATGGGCTTTTGACAAAGTAGAATGACCTTAGTTTACGACATTCCCGAATATCACCGATTTCCCTGGGGCCCTGCACTGTCATTTGTCATAAAGCGAGGGCTTTAAAGACTGGGAGGGCTGTGGGACTTCCTTCCCAGGTTGGCCTGACCCTCCATGAAAAGCAGGCTGTAGGCATCTCCCATGTCTGGTCCCCGCTGCTCTGCCCCCTGAGGAGGGGTCCTCAGGGCAGGCTCCCCTGGGGTGTGGGTGGGGATGTGAAGGAGCTCTGGCTTCAAGGCCCAAAGACTTGGGGTTGAGTCCTTGTCATACATCATGACCTTGGGAAGTTGGTTCCTCTCTCTGTCCCTTAATGGCCTCTTCAATCTCTTCCATTTTGACTTTAGATGTGAGGAAGGGGTTTTGGCGTAACAATACCCCATCTTGATTTCCTCCTAAGGACTCGGTCCTCCCACCAGCCATTTACCTGGTCTTTCTCATTCACTATGGCCATCCCATATGGCCAGCCAGCCACCCTGTGGGGACTGGCACTGGACACTAGGTTAAGCCTAGTGGCTTTGAAATTAGAGTGACTTGGGTTCAAATCTTGATTCTGAAGCTGATTCATTGTGTGACCTTGAGCAAGTCATTAACTTCTCTGAATATCAGTTTTCTCATCCATGAAACAGAAGGGGGGTTCATAAAGTAAGAATAAGAACTGTAAAAAGGAAATAAAACAAAGGTGACATAGTCCTGCTACCTGCCTCAGATAGAGAATGGAATGAGGTTGAGCCTAGAAATCTCTCTGGCACAGGATGAAGTGTCCATGCCTGTGCCAGCAGAAGGGCCACACTCCAGGTCTCCGATTCCCAGGCAAGAGCTGCTTCTGCTCCCTGGGCCTTATAGCTTCTTCCTATTGCAGAGCCAGGGGCTGGTTCTGAGCCTTCCCAGGGATGGCATGCAAAGCTCTCTCCCAGGACATGTTATTTTTGGCATGAGGGAGGTTAATCTGCTCTCTGGGACTGAGTCAGACTCAGAGGGCCCTTTGCTGATCCTGTTTCAGTTCTCCAGATGGGTGGACTGAGTCCCTGAGGCCACGAGCAGCCTGCTCATTTGGGCAGTGGCCGTGGCCACTCTCTGGGCCCAAGTCCAGTTCGGGTGCCCCTAGGAGCTCCCTAGGAGCTCCCCAGGGTCTGGAGGCTTTCAGGAGAAGCGCCTAGTTACCTTCCACCGTCACCCCAGAAAGGATCTTCCTAAACCCTTCTCGGTATCACGCCGACAAGACGGGGGAAAGTAGGTGTAGCAAACGCCATGTCAGTAATACATTCTGCATCACAGTGGCCCAGATGCAGCCATTGATTTTTCTTTATTGTGTTCCTTCATATTCGAAGCTGCCATGCATTTTAAAGTAATTATTGAATGGCATCCTCAATATAGCTTAGCACAAATATCATTCTAATGCGAGTGATTGATTTTCAATACTTTCAAGTGGCTTTCTCCCTTGTGCCTCAGGATCAGCTATAAGACGGCATATCGGCGTGGCCTCCGGACCATGTACCGGCGCAGGTCCCAGTGCTGCCCTGGCTACTACGAGAATGGGGACTTCTGCATACGTACGTAGGGGCTGCCTCCCTGGGGCAGGGAGGGAACCAAGGGGAAGGGAAGTAGGGGGCTGTCAGCCAGGCCCTGGGCAGCAGGCCTTGGCTGAGCTGAGGGCTCCAGAAATCCCTGCCTACTGGCAGCTCTGCGGGGATCAATGGGTCTGGTACAAGCACGTTCGCACAAATTTGTCCATCAGGTCGATCTCCTAAGAGGGTTGGATAGACGCCGGTCGGTTCTAGGCTTTGATGGGGTCAGGAGAGAAGTGGACACTTTCAGAGCATGCTCTGAGGAGCTGTGGGGAGGAAGGGCTGAGTGCCTGGCACAGATCGGAAGGGCTCCAGAAGGCTTTGCTGGATGGAAGGAGACATGGATGGATAGAGGGTGGAAGGGAGGAAGGAGGGCAGGCTGGATCACTGGAGAGCAAGACTGTAGCACCGAGAAGGAGGGTAGCAAGAACAAGATAGATCACAGGGGGCCGGTTCTAGGAAGTGGGGACATTTCCAAAAAGGATCAGGAGACCTGAGGACAAGGTGGGTGCGAGGGCTTAGTTTCTGGCAGCTGTGGGCCCTCTGGGTGGGAGGGCAGTGCTGTGCAGTGGGAGATACCCAGGAGTCTGCAGATCTGGGTTCTGGTCCCAGCTTCCCAGAGATGTGGCTTTGGGCAAGTCATTTAACCTTTCAGGGAGAATGACTGTAGGGTTAGAGTCTGTTAGAGTCCAACGGACTCTTTCCCACCACCTGTGACAGGTGCAGTGGGGCCAGTATGGGGTGCTCCAGTGGGCAGTAGAGTTTTGCCACAACTGTGGAGAGTGTCGGAGAAACTGGGAGCCCCCCCCAATTAATGACAGAGGGGAATCCACCCCCACAGCTTCTGCCTCTTCATTTGGAGGCAAATTTGGAGAGTGATTTTCCTTGTTAGCATTCTCCTTGCCCTTTGGGTGGGTAGAGTGAGCCAGCACCAGAGAGCCAGTTTGGGCAGGGTGGGCGTGTTCGTGTTGGGAATGAAATGACAATTTTCCCCTCCTGATGTTACATGTCCCCTCTCGCTGGAGAAGCTCGATCCTAATTGCATTACAGGAGTGAATGAAAAATGCTCGCACAAACGGGTTCCGCGGTGATGGTTTTGCAGGAAACATACAAAGATACGCACGCAAAGCCATCCCCAAAAGGCTGTGTCTCAGGAGCGGGGCAGAGGACTGGACTGGGACAAGGCATTGGCCAACGCCTCACCTGGGATGGAGCTCCTACGGGGACCTGGGTGTAGAAGTGAGATCAAGACCAAGGTTTTACTGCTGCTGTCTGCCCAGAGGAAAGTGAGAGCCAGGCGTGGGGTGTGACCCAGGACTCACAAAGCCCGAGCAGAACGGATGTGAGCGGCCCTTCAGGGCTCAGGGCGCAACGATGGACTCGGGGAAATGATAAAGGGAATTCAGCTGTCAGCACAGGGCTCCAGGAACAGAGGAGCACATCCTTTTTCTAATTTCCGTCAGTGATTCTTGGTAGAGCTCTTGGAAAATGAAGAGCAGGGCAGAAGCACTAAGTGTCCCGATGGCACAGGCCCAGTCTTCTAATCTCCCACCTACTCCTTATGTCACCGCCGTGGGCCAGCCCCCCTCTGGGAAGCCAGCCGGAAAAGCCAATTTTAGGACTGAGGGCTCCTCCTGAAGGGGGACAGGAGTTTCAGCAGTGAGATGGGTCACTGTGGCATGCGGGGTGCTGGTAGTGATGACCCAGGGGAACAAGAGTCCCATAAGTCTGGGTTTGAGTCTCAGTTCTGTCCCCCCAACTTCTTCCTCTTTATGCTCGTCCTTATGGTCTTCAGAGCACACCCCCCACACGAGGCACTGTTCTGATCACTTTATATACATGAAGGCATCAGCTCCTCAGAGCAGCCCTCTGAAGTGGGCACCCTGATCTCTCCCATTTTATAGATGGAGAAACTGAGTCACAGAGTGATTAAGTGACTTGACCAGGATCATACAGCTAGAAAGTGGTAGAACTGGGATTTGAACCTAGGCTGCCTGGCTCTGGAGTCTGCTCTGACCCACTTAGATGGGCTGCTTCTCTCTCCGTGAGCCTAGGCAAAATGCCACCTCTTGGTACCTCAGTTTCCTTTCATGTAAAATGGGGATAGTAATAGATATCACCAGACACAGTGTAGGGGCTTAATAAATGCCAGCTTCCTACTCCATGACTTTGGGTCTTACCGTTTTTCACTCTTGGCTTTTGTTTTAATTTTTTGCACCTCCATGGACCCTGTCCCTGGGAAAATGCACATGACATGTATAACCACCCCCCCACACACACACACAGCTCTTTGCACACAGTTTCAGTGGGTCCATGGAGCCCTCAAATCCCTTACAGAGTCTTTGGACCCACAGTAAATCATTTCTGCCATATTTCATGTTTATGTACACTGTTCCTTGTCGACTTGTTTCCTACTCAGTGCTGGGGGCATAGACACACACGAGGAACAGTTGCTCCCTCGAGGAGCTTGCAGCCTAGTGGAAAGAGATGGTCTGGTACACGGATACCTGCCCCTAGAGTTACAGATGCTTCAGTGGGCATCTTCATAAAGTAGGGCAGAGTAGAATGGAGAGATGTCTTCTTCAGCCATGCCCACTTATCGGGTATTAACGAGGAATCAGCTTTAGGGGAGTCTGGGTGGCTCAGTCGGTTAAGCATCTGCCTTCAGCTCAGGTCATGATCCCGGGGTCCTGGGATCGAGCCTCACATCAGGCTCCGGGCTCAGCGGGAAGCCTGCTTTCCCTCTCCCTCTGCCGCTACCCCTGCTTGTGCTCTCTCTCTTTCAAATAAATAAGCAAAGTCTTAAAAAAAAAAAAATGAGGAATCAGCTCTAGACAGAAGACTGAAGGGGGAAACCCTTGAAGGGTGTTCAACCCAGTATTTATTAGATGCCCACTGTGGCCCACCCGCAGTGCTATGCTTTGGGATATAGGAGAGGTGTTAGGAATAGCTCTTGCCCTCGTGGAACTCATGGTCTTGTTGGGAAGGCCAGGCCACACGCAGAAAAACCCTGTGGATAACAGCCAGAGGCGAGTGTGTGAAAGAACACAGATGGGACATGCGAGGCTGGAGACAGCCCTGTGACCTGCTCTCGCTCGGGGGGCTTCGGAGGGCTTTGGGCTGGATGGAATGGTGTCTTTGGGCATGGATGGGACAGGGAACCCCATCAGCAAAGACGGGGAGGCGGCTGGCCTGACTGCGGGGGCAGATCTGGGCTGGGAGGCTGGTTGGCTGAGGCAGTTACTCATTTCCCTGGGGCTGCCGTTTCAAGCAGCACAGCCTGGCTGGCTTAATCCACAGGAGTGTACTGTGTCACCCCACTGGAGGCTCGAAGTCCAAATCAGGATGTCAGCAAGGTTGGTTTCTTCTGCTCTAGGCCTCTGCCCTTGCTTCTGGTAGCTCCGTGGCTCAAGGCGCCGGAACTCCATTCTTCACACAGCCTTCTCCTGATATGTTTGTCTGTCTCCAGATTTCCCCTTTGTATAGGGACACCCTCCGACTGGATTAGAGCCCACCCCTAATGACCTCATTTGAACTTGATTACCTCTAATCAGACCTTATCTCCAAATAAGGTCAGATTCTGGAGAATTGGGGATTAGGACTTGAACATATGAATTTTAGGGGGACACAATGGAGCCCATGAACAGGTGAGTGTCGGCCATTGCTAGCGTTCTCTTGTTCCTGCTTATTGTAATGGGAAGAAAGGAAGGGGACCGGCCAGGCTTTGTCAGCTGTCCAGGAGTGAGTGGAGACCCCAGAGTCAGGGAACTTGCGTGAGGGATGGTGCCCAGGGTGCTGGGTGCCAGATGAGAGCTTGCAAAACCAGAGGCTTTCAGGAATCAATGCCCTGTGGCCCCTCCCCCTCCACTTCTTCTCCACCCCTTGGGAGCCAGAGAACCTCCAGGTTCACCAGAACCTGGTGAGAACCCATCTGATGCCAAGAGTCCTCAGGACCATGCACAGGAACATCTGTGCTCTGAGGCAGGGGACATCATCCTCCCTCCAGAACCACCTTCTGGAGCCCATTTCTTAGCAGATACTAGAAGGACACTGGCCTGGAGTAAAAGCCTTGGCTGCCTCTGCTATCAACTTGCTGTGCAATCTTGGGCAAGTCCCTTTGCCTCTCTGGACCCACTGTGGCATAGGATGGATCATCTCCGTGCGTGGAAGGAGTAAGATAAAACAATGAGTGAGTGTGTCCTGGAGTGCATAGAGCTTGATACAGTTGCAAACTCCTCTTTGTGCCATTTTCCCTGCCCCAGAACTGCCATCCTTATCCCAGAGCCCTTGGCAGCCCTTCTAGAACCTTCTGCACCAGAACTGCCCACCCCCTCCGTTAGCTGCCGATACAGCTGAGTCCTAGCTCCTCTTGGTCACCCAGGCATCAAATATTTCCTGAGGATCACCGGGCCCAAACACAGTTCTTTCTTTCTCCTTTCTTGGGAGATAGGGCAGTGAGCATCTTTGCCTCACAGGTGGAGCTGATTTTGTCACTTACACAGTGGGGTTTGCGGTATTTCAGCAAACTGCTCTTTGAAAATATTAGGTGCTATCGGACTGGATGGGTTTGGTTATGATGCCATAACAAACAACACCCAAATCCCGGTGGCTTAAAAGAATAGTTTTAGCCCTTGTTCATTTGACGTGTCTGTCCTCTGCCAGGACCCAGGCTGTTGGAGCAGGGGCTCTGCAGTGTTGCTGGTTGCTGTAGCAGAGAAAAGAGGGCTTGAAGTATTGAAAGCAGAGGGCCAAAGTATTTAGTGAGCACTATCAATGCTTAGCACCACACAGATGCCGTGGTAATCACAATTCACAATTCACTCAAATGTATTATCGAGCACCTGATTACTTAATATAAGAGTCACCTGGAAGACGTGTTCTAACTTCCAACACAGACTACTGAGCCCCAGCATCAGTCTCAGATTCAGAAGACTTGGGGAGGGGACTGGAGAATGTGCATTTTTTAAAAAAGATTTATTTATTTA